TACCCTAATTACCCTACCCATGATCTCGAGCTAGCAACCATCACTTTCGCCCTGAAGATTTGGATGCATTATTTATATGGACAAAAGTGCAAGATTTTCACAGATCATAAAAGCCTCCAATACCTATTCACCCAGAAAGATCTCAACCTTCAACAGCGGAGATGGATAGAATTACTCAGTGATTATGATTGCATGATTGAGTATCATCCTGGTCGTGCAAATGTGGTGGCAGATGCATTTAGCAGGAAATCTTGAGGCCGAATTAATGGTTTATATGCTTGCCATATCCTTCTTCTCACAGAATTGAGATTTACTGGAGTTGATTTGGAAGTCATAGATCGGGAAGAAGCTTTAGGTCAGACCAATTTTAATTGATCGGGTGCTAGAAGCTCAAGCGGAAGATAAGGAATCCCAGGAAATAGCCGAGGCAATATCACGAGGAAAGAAGAAAGATCTTAGAATTCGGGAATTTGATGGCATGCTTATGCAGGGAAGTCGAATGTACGTGTCGAATATTGCAGAACTAAAGAAAGATATTCTCGATGAAGCACATATATCAACATATGCGATGCATCCTGGGAGTACCAAGATGTATCACACTATTCGACCTTTCTACTATTAGTCTGGCATGAAAAGAAAGATTGCTGAATATGTGAGTAGGTGTGCAATTTGTCAGCAAGTCAAAACTGAGAGGAAGAAGCCTTTTGGACTGATGCAGCCACTTCCTGTTCCCCAGTGGAAATGGAAAAATATTACTATGGATTTCGTGTGCAAGCTTCCTCGTATGCGAAATGGTTACGATGGCATCTGGGTGATAGTGGATCGACTTACTAAGTCAGCACACTTTATACTAGTTCGAGAGAAGTATTCTTTAAGCTGATTAGCTAAGTTGTTTATATTAGGGACTGTTAAATACCACGGGGTTTCGGTTAGTATTATTTCTGAACGGGATCCTAGGTTCACTTCTAAGTTTTTGGGTGGCTTTCCAGGAAGCTCTTGGTACGAGATTGCTCTATAATACGATGTATCATCCACAGATAGACGAGCAATCTGAGAAAACTATCAACTTATCATCCACAGATAGACGGGCAATCTAAGAAAACTATCTAAACGCTAGAAGATATGTTAAGATCTTGAGTATTGCAGTTTGGTGACGCTTGGCACAAGCGTTTGGATTTGATTGAGTTTGCCTACAATAATAGCGACCATTCTAGTATCGGTATGTCACCTTTCGAGGCACTCTATGGTAGATCTTGTCGTACTCCTCTTTGTTGGTCAGAAGTTGGTGAGAAGGTGTTAGTGGGCCCAGAGATTGTTGATGAGACTGCCCAGAATATTCAGGTAATTAAAGCTAACCTGAAAGCGGCCCAGGATCTACAGAAAAGCATTGCTGATAAACACGCCACTGATAGGGTGTATAAAGTTGGAGATTGGGTATTTCTGAAGCTATCCCCATGGAAGGGTGTTGTACGGTTCGGTAAGAAAGGTAAGTTAAGTCTTCGCTACATTAGACCGTATCAGATCACCGAGCGAGTCGGTGAAGTCGCCTACAAACTTGAGTTACCTCCAGAATTATCACGGGTGCATGATTTTTTTCATGTTTCTATGTTTTGTCAATATGTCTCCGATCCATCACACGTGATACCTCCTCAACCTTTAGAAACTAATCCAGACTTGACATATGATGAGGAACCAGTGACGATTTTAGACTGGAAGGATAAGGTTCTTAGGAACAAAACTGCGCGCATGGTGAAAGTTTTGTGGAGGAACCACTCGATGGAGGAAGCCACTTGGGAGACGGAGGATCATATGCGAGATATGTATCCACGCTTATTTTATGGATACTAGTGGTCTGTTATGTTAGTGTATAGAAATTTCAGGGACAAAATTTTATTAAGGAGGGTAGGTTATGACGACCCGTCCTGAATTAATATATATTTTATCCTCGAATGTATGAAAATAACAATTATACCCTCGACTCGTAGTGACATGAATGTACGTATATGGTTTTAAATTATTTTTCCGTTGACATAATTGAATCATACTCGATGTCACGAGAGTGTTGACATGATTTAGGGCTGAGTTGGGTTCGTAACTAAAATGTTACGAATAAACGATTGTGTAATTGGGCTAAAGAAATGGGCCAATCACCACACCTCCAACTTTCTTGGGTCCAGTTAGAATTTTAAATTTGAAAATTTTCCAGTTTCCAGCAACGCAGCGGCGATCGGCGCCGGAATCCGGCGAATCACCGGAGAAGGAAGGAGAATATTCCATCAACTTTGATGGAATATACGAACGACGTCAGGTAAAGTTAACGGAATATTATATTATTCAACGGAATATTCCCAAACGGCATTTAAAATTTCGTCCGTGTGCCAAGCATATGCCTGCGCATGGTTGGCACGTATGGCCGTGCCTTGGCCGGCACGTGAGGGCACGTGGGACGTCAGAAAATTATTCTAAAAAATTTGGGGATGCTCATGGTGTTGAGTAGGCCACGATGGTATGTTCACACATCCCAATTAAGCAACGTATGAGAAGTTATTACATGATTTTGGTTATGTACTTAAAATTAATGTTAAGATAGTGGTTTCACATATAGGTGAGACGTTTCCGAAGAACGAGCGCAGTCAGGCGAGACTCAGGGATTACAATCCAGCTACATACCAGTGAGTGGGCTTTTGGTTTTCTATATATACGTATATATGCTTTGTGTTTTCCCAGAAATTTCTTTTAAGTGGAGTCACGATTTTAAATGCCATGTCAATTGCATTATGTTGTAGAGTATGCATTAGTATAGATATGCATATTGTTGCTTGATGTTGCAGACGCTCAGGTAAGCTTCAAGTGAGTACATATTGATGATAGTTTAGAGCTCATTATCCTGCACCCCCGTGCTAGTGTTCCCGCCCGTGACCAGGGCACAGTCCTTCACGTGATGTTCACCTCCCGCACCGCACACTCACCTTGGATCCAAGTTTGGTGCACAGCCTTGTCGTACATACCACATTAGGTGGTTCTGACTTATAGGTAATCCGCGATTATTCGCACAGCCTTCACGTGATCGTAGCACTTGAGCGTACTTATTTGCACCCAGCCTTGTCGTATAGACCACAATAGGTGATTCCGACTCGTGTGCATGCGTATTTAATGAGCTATAGGTTCAGCCGTACAAGTCACGTTAGGTGACTCCAGTTGGCATATAATTTTACATTGATTTATTTCACCTGGCTACTTATTTCCATACTTGGATACTTCACATGGCATATATTTGATTTTCACTACTCTCGAGCATGATTTTTATATATGTATGTATTTTTATTTTATGGGAAACTATACGGGTTTTACAGTGAGAGGTTATTACTTTTGGAAAGAGAAATGGTTTTGAAAAGCTTTGTTTTTGCCTACTCACATTTTCTATTTTGCACTTCTCTAGGTTCTAGATAGAAGTGTGTGTTGGTGGCTCATGAGGACTCTACGGCAGTTCTGATAGACATCCATCAATGTAGGGTTTTCTTTCATACCCTGTATAATTAGTATTTAGCCTGCTGGGCTGCACCTTGGCACCTATGCTCTGACTATGTGTATCTACACTCTAACACTTCTTCCTGCACTTATTTACTTGTCTTGTGTGCATTAGTTAATTCGTTTTTGATTTCTCACATCTTCATATCACTATCACTTCCGCACTACACACATGGATACATAACCATCATGTGACAGGCAGCATGCCTTGATTTAGGTCGGGGTGTGTCATGCTAGACCTTTTAGTATCCTTGTGGATTTTTTCTTCGCATAGCAGGATTAATCATGGTGTAGTGAATCCTCGACAAAGCATAACAGGATTAATCACGTGATGTTCACCTCGACAAAGCAATTACCATCACTAAGAACCCGGTGTTTCACCAAAAGACAAAGCATATTTATAGAAGATACCACTTCATCAAGAATGATTTGCAGGATGACATAATTGATATGGTGTACTATCCCACAAATGAACAATTGGCAGATATTTTCACCAAGGCTTTAACCAAGGATCGATTCAACTACCTTAGAGATTTGCTTGGAGTAATCAACTCAAAGCTTAAAGGGGAGTGTTGAATTATAAGCAGTGAGCTGATTAGTATTAGTGAATAAGCCATGTATTCAATTGTGTGTTCACTTGTGCTTAAAATTGCCAAGTGTAAGACTCAATTATGTAAGGTCATGAGTGTCATGTGTAATGATCCTAATTATTAGCTAGATGAGTGGTTGTGATCAGTTTCTAGAGAGACAGGGATCCAGCTAAGAGTTTCCAATGGTTTTATTCTCTTTTAAACAACTTGTGTGGGAGTGAGAGAAGCAATCAATGAGAAGAATATTTCATCTGTGATTTGCAGAGAGAAAGAAGCAACCATTTCCTCTCCCTTGGGAAGTCATCTTTCTTCGATTTTTTTTTTCCTCTTCCAAAATATCAATTTACTGTGCTATCACTAGTAAAAAAAACACTTTGCGCGACGTAGGTACTTTCGTGGCGCAAAGTAAAAAATCGTTGCCTAAGGGTTTGCGCAACACAACCTTCGTCGCGCGTTAATCGTCACGCAAAGTCTGAGACGCTAGGGTTTGTGCAACGGCCCACGGTGTGCGTCGCGCAAAGTGGGTTTGCGCAACCAATGGAGTGCGTCGCGCAAATCCACTTTGCGCGACCAACAATGTGCGTCGCGCAAACCCACTTTGCACTGCCCACTTTGTGCGTCACGCAAACCCATTTTTCGCGACGTACGCATGAGTCACGCAAAGTGGGTTTGCGCGACGGAATCATGCGTCGTGCAAAGTGGGGAGTAGTTTTGGTCAAACTTTTTTTTTTTTTTTTTTTGATAAATATTGTAATTAAATTCGAAAGAATAATTAATTAACCAAGCAAAAGTATTTAATTATAAAATATATGGAAATGTACATACAAGATCCGAACAAAAAAGAAAAAACTACAAGTGAACTAGGTTTAATACATCAAGCTACTAGGTATCGGCAGGGCGAGGTGGCTCTGAGGTCGAAGGTGGACCAAGATGAGGTGTTGGTAGTGAGATTTGAAGGCCGGACATCTGTATGGCTTGTACAAGGTCTCTCCACGCCCCGGCATATGACCTCATCTCCTCGCCCTGGGCCCTCAGCTGCTCCTTCATCTGCTCGCCCTGAGCCTTTAGGGTTGTCACTTCCTCCTTCAATGCATCTACCTCTGTTGTGTTTGATCTGGAAGAAGAGGCACCCGTTTCACGAATGTGTGCTTTCCCCATACACCGAACAACCTTGCCACGACGACGACCTAAGTTCTGATCCAGGACATCAGTCATGATCTGAAAACCTAGATCCTCAGGTATCGTGACGTCCTCGATCGGGGTCTCCGGGGGAAGCTGCGATGTTGCTTCTTGGAGAACAGAAGTGCTCTTTTCCACCATAGTAGCCTATAATAATAAAGAAAAAACATATAATGTTTAATAAAAAAATATAAATAATATTTGAATGATTCATACATATAAGAATAATAATAATTACATATACTTACATGAAACTGCTCAATAATCTCCTGACCAGGTCGAACGTAAACGTCCTTGAACATGTCGATTGCTGGGAACTTAGAACCCTCCTGAAGAAAAAAAACACTAAGAAAATTTTATTAATCAATAATAATAATAAATTGTATAAAATTTCAAAGTTAATATACTTTTACCTGACATCGTGTCTGAAGCCTATACGAAAAGGGCTTCGAACCGGAATGGTGGAGAAATGTCTTTGACTCACGAGCTTTTTGGCTAGCAACAGATTTCTTCTGTTAAACACACAATATACATGTTAGTGCAACTATTTGAAATAAATTAATAAAAAAAGGCTTAAAAATAACTAAAACAATAATAAATTATTATTAAAATATTATGTACATACCACAAATTGGTCCGTAAAATGTTTGCAGAGCCACTCCCAATCATCTGGCCGGTCCTTTAACTCGCTTGGAACATGTAGGCGAGCAATCTCTGGATCATCCCATCGCTTAAAATACGTGTGAAAAGTGCTCTTCCAATTTTTGTACCGGTTTGCTAAGGTCTCCTCTAAGTAGGTCATGACCTCAAGGGATATGTCATCAAGATCATAAATGACCTACGAATATGAAAAACAATAAAATAATAGTAAGAAATTTAATAATATTAAGATAATATATTTTGGTTTTTAATATTTGTAAAGAAAATTAAAAAAATGATAAAGGCTAAAAATTAATATACTAACCGACAACTCGTGTCGCACCAGTCTCTTCGTCTCCTCGGGAATTTCTGCCCAAGACTCCCACTGAAAAGGACAATTGTCTCGAATAACAACACCACAGCTACTAGCAATGAAGCTATGTTGCTGTGAGGTAGCTGCTCCACGATGTTGCGGGTCATATGCAATCTTGATCTTGGAGGCAACCTGCCGTGCACTCTGTGACTGCTTCAGCATTCGACTAGGCCCTCTGGTGTTTTTTTTAGCTGGCCAAAAATACTTAAATGGTGAAATCCCAAAGCTTAAATTTGTTAAAAAAAATCGACATAACCTCCCGTAATAGTATAGCATTTTCCAAAACCTTAAAATAATAAAATAACATTAATTCACAACCAGCAACAGATTTTCACAATCCAGCAAATTTTCACCATCATAAAAATAATAGTTTTAAAATGAAAAAAAAAATACAGCGTAGTGAGAATTAGAAAAAACTACCTGGATGGGAGTGTGATAATGCAGGAGGTGCATTGGTCACACTCCGACGACGAGTGATCAACTGCGACATCTATACACTTATTCAACCATAAAAATATAACATTAGAAACTAATCTTACAACATTTTTCTTAAATGCAACAGATAATGTTGTGGGTTTCATGACAAGGTAAATGCAACAGAAAAACTCACATCAAGCTTTCAAGAAGGATTATAACCCTGGAGTATCAATATTTCTCTTACAGTTTTCAACCTTATCATATTTCTCAAATGCAATTGTGATCCTAGAAAAGGAAAATACGATTGTAACTATACAACGTATTAACTAAGCACAATGTAGGAAACCAAGAAACAATGGGGTACATATTCAAATAACCTATAGATATATGAGAGTCCAATCTAACTTAAACATCAAAACTAACATTTCAAATTCATCACCATTTCCATCACAAGCATCAGCTTTCAAATCTGACCTTACGGAGAGTCAATGCGTCAATACATGCACCACCCACTTGGTCCACTAGAGAAAAATGATAGGCAAAAAGAAATGGGATGGCCCAAAATCATGAGAAACCTATTCATATCCATTTCAAAACTGTTTTCCCATGACAGAAAGAGGACGACATAATTCTCAAATGCAAACTACTTAACAATAAACTCATTATGGTGTCAATGCTGTAAGTGGGTGTATATGCTGGTGGTGCATTTGCCAAGCATGTAAATGGACAACAATAATCCAACTCAATCAAAGCTGTTGAGGCATTTCAATATGACAAGAATGTTGAGGCATTTCAATATGACAGAGTGTTGCACATCAGCATGTAAATAAAAAATACAACATCAACTCATGACGTGAGTGTTGAACATCATCTATGTGAGAAATACATTCAATATGACAGAGTGTTGCCTTGACGATGCAAACCCCATGACACAAAGTTTTTCAAGATTTGAGGCATTGACAAATAAATAGTTTGACAACTCTGTTTCTTTCACAGTTGTTCTTAAAGTCTTTAATTCAGGAGCAAATATATTGAAATTCATTGCATCTCTTCCGAAAAATGGATGTATATCCAAATCTTCAAGAACAAGGGAGTTACAGAAAAGCTTTTCCAATGAGGTATCACCTAATACAAGATCTGTAATAACATGAAGCAACTTGAGACTTGGGAAACAACAACGCAATGTCGTAGGAAACCCAAAAATTTCACTAAAAAACCCAATTATATTAGGAAGCTTAGTCATTATATATTCGTAGCAAACCAAGCTCAAATTCATGAGTAGAGTGCAAAATGAGGAGTATGCAAATTCACATTCATACCACGCCAAAAGGAATGATAATTCATAATTCGGATATTCGAAAAAATTCACACTAAGCCCATGCAAAACCATGTGTATTGATCATGCCAAGCCAAATTGAAATAAGTTCATAATGTTAATACATTAACAGTTTAATTCGAAACACACCAAACTGTTCTTCACACAACACACTCAAGTGGGCCAAGCCAGATAACGAAGATTACCAAGCGGGTTGTGGCGTGAACGGTTACGAAAAGTTAGTATTCAATCCATCGGAAGCACGAAATTAGTATTCAAACGAGCAACTTTATTTCTTCAATCCCACACTTTTGCTCCTTAGAATTTATCCTTACCAATGAGCCACAACCAGTCAAGGCAAACCCCTGCAAATATGGCTCCCAAAAGAAACAGAACAAGTATATTTCCCAAGGCATTTTGCTCAGGTCCCTGCAAATCAAACAACCAGAAATTAATTTTGATTTGATTTCATTAGAAACCGTGAAAACATATGTGCATACAAATAAACAATTTTGCAGGTGATGTAAAACAATTTTGCAGGTGATGTACAAAAATATGTGCATACAAATAAACTAAATCACAATAATTACTAAAACTAAATAAAATAAAATAAATTAATAAAAATTAATATAGCCAAGAAAATAAAGTGATTTACGTACACTGTGACATCTCAAATCTGAATTGCGGCCAAACCTACAACTCCTCCACCACCCACAACTAACAGCCGTTGGCTGTAGAGATAAGATGCAATAACAAAAGGATGCAAAATTGTTAATGACAGCTTCCACCGAGATAAGATACAATAATCAAATCCCTACACCAAAATAATATAAAGCTTCAGCTGCCTCTCAATCCATGTTTCGCAAAGACACAGCATCAAAAATAAATGTCATACTTTCTTTTATACCTTTTACCTAAAAAATGCTGGGAAGATGGTAAAAGTTTGGACACAAAAGTTCAACATCTCTAGTATAGTGAAACAAATTTCATTACTGAAAGAAACATTTACCCCCATGTGAAAACGATAACAGCTTTTGCAATCGAAAAAAAGAAAGAAAATGACAATGGCTTCCTGATGACAACAACTTTAACAGAAGAATCATGATACATCAAAGGAAGGAAGTTAATATTCGAGATAACATACCCCTTAGCTTTCCTAGCAGTACTTACGAGAGCTCGCCAAGCAGTCAGAGAAGCAAAAGGAATGGCACTAGCTTCCTAGAATCACAGAGTAAGATAAAGCCAAATTGAGTTGTCACATAGCAATAACAGGAATGAGAAGTTAAAAACTTTCATCTACATAACATCTCACCATGAATTCCTAACATCTCACCATTGTTGTCAATTCTTTCATGAATTCCTAATAACAGAAATCATGAAAGAATTGATAATAATGGGTGTAGAAACAGAAAAAAAAAAAAAAATCAACAAAGGATTCGATATTTCCTCTTATTGCTATATGTCCATTTCCACAAAGCAACGTGCTGCTTAATAATTGTAGCTTGATTAACTCTAAGTTCCATTTCATATCAAGTAGTTTCTACTCCAGTTCATCCAACCAATCTAAGCTAAAAAAAACTGTTTTTTCTTCTTTTTCAGCTGAGCAAGGTGGAAAATTCAAATTGAAAATGAATTAATAAAAAATTTAAGCTCCAAATGTACATTATTCAGACAAATGAACACAAGCATACCACTAACACACTCAGAAGCATCATTACATTATAAAAGCAGCTAAATAACTAGAAAAGTATGCGTGCGTGTGTGTGTGTGTGTGTGTGTGTATTGCTACAAATTTTCAAGTTATATTGCTACAAATGAACACAATCATTACATTATATTGCTATAAATTTTTAAGTTTTGTTGGAATTGGAGGAACGAAACAGAGAGAGGAGCAAACAATAAAATGATCATTTCCCTCATTTTCTCCGCAAACAAACAGAACTTAGAAATGGGATCAATTCAAAAACAAGGTGAAATTTGACTCACTTTGATATCAACGGGATTGATTGGAGAAGGTTTTGAAGAGAGATGGAGGAAGGAGGTAGCTGCTGCAACTGGGTTTGCAGTTTCTGCCTCCCAAATTGATTAAGTGGAGTAGGAAAAGTCGTTGACTTTGCGCGACGCAATTGCACATGCGTCGCGCAAACCTGTTTTGCGCGACGCCAGTCTTGTCACGCAAAGTCCACTTTGGGCGACGCATGTGTACGTACGTCGACCAAAACAACTTTGCGCGACGCATGTGCACATGCATCGCATAAAGTTGGCAAAAAAAAACGGTAAAACATTCTTTGTTTGGCGCCAAGATATTGCGCGACGTACAAAACGTCGCGCAAAAGGCATTTGCGCGACGGTACTTTGCGCGACGAAGGCGGGTGTCATGCAAAGTGTTTTGCGTGACGCACAAGTTCCTGCGTCGCGCAAAGAAGTTTTGCGCGACGCTAGAATTTCGTCACGCAAAGTACCGTCGCGCAAATGCTGTTTGCGCGACGCTTTGTCTTTTAGGTCGCGCAAACATACTTTGCGCGACGAAATTTGGTGCGTCGCGAACGGGTCGTGTCTATCGTATTCATGTCGTTTTCATGTAACACCTGTTATCTTAACGGGTCGTGTCGTGTCACACCCGTTATCTTAACGGGTCCTTAACAGGTCGTGTCACTTTACCCAACAGGTAAAGTGACCCGACCCGTTATGACCCGTTAAGAAAAAAATATATTTTTTTAAAATTTGCACATACCACACATTGCCACATAAATATTACTTCAAAACATTAAAACATTTCTCGTTCAAGTACTATATCTACACTCGAAAATAAAAGCCTAATAAAAAAAATAATACATACACTACTAATCTATTACAAATATTAAATGTGCAAGGATAAAGAGTTTTTGTTTTTAAGATTGTAAGTCTTTCTCAAAAGTTTACACCTCCATTTACAAAATCTTCAATATATATATATATATATAATTATGAAATGGACGGCTGAGATTTAATCTCAGCCGATCCAATGGTCATCAATTTTTAAATTTAATTTAATATATATAATTATATTATATAATTATTATAGTTTTTACTTTTTAGGGATATAAAATTGTTAAATTAATGTATATAATTATTAATATTATAGTTGATTCATACTTTTATTAAGTATATAAATTATAACATAAGATTTTGTGATATCCACATCCACTAGTGTAAATATTTTAAATTGAAGATCAAATTCATTCTTTGTATTTATATAGGGTCAAGGAGTGTAGCTGTAAAAATTCATCAAAATCAGAGTTAAAATAACCGTTAAATCTTGATTTTTCGCTTATAACCGTTGAAAAGCTTTGTCCCGTTACTTGATCTCTGAATGTTTTTTTTTTGTGATTTTTTGCTGATGTGATCTCCAAGCATATACAAACAATTTTGACGGTTTGGATCGTTGAAA